GGGAGGGATACACCGCAAGAATATTTTTTGGGTATGTGGGTTGCATTTAAATGCCTGAATTCGCTTACAATAATATACATATTATCTCAAGGTACAAAAACTTAAATCCTCATGAAAGCATTTTTTTTCTTTCTTTCCCACTTGCTCACTTTCCCACAACTACATTTTCTTCTTTCCGTTCTTTTTCCTATATACAATAACGAAAACTTCCATTGTATTGTTTGGGATGCAAAATGCTCACATACGAAAAACAAAAACAAAAACAAAAACAAAACCTTTCGTAGATTATCTCGGCCACCTTACATTTACCCACATTTATGGTCGGCCCTGGCAACATGCGGTTGACGGTTAGGACAGAGTGGTTTCCCCCGCTGCCAAGGACGCACTGCGGCAGGAAACAATGGCTGCTGTTGCTAGGGCAGTCGTAGCAGGCTGTAGACATTGTTGTGTAGTGCTCCAGCAGGAAGTAGTAGCGACAGAGTTTGGGGAGGGCGCCCTCCAAGCATGGACGGGTACACGGGTGGTTCTTGTAATCTGGGAGTTAAAAAAGGACAGTACAAAAAAATAAACTGTATCCCTCTATTGAGAGCAATACTATTTTACCTTGTCAACATCCGGGCTTTCCATAGATTTCTGGTGCAGTGACGTTATGCCTGAAAGACGTTTTAAATTGCATTTCAAGTAAAAGGACCAAAATCTTAAATCGGACAATTGTGTAGAAGAGAAACATGTGGAAAACCCATCTTGGCGACCTTTACTCAAAGCCAGGGTAAAAGAGCCAGAGGGGGAGGGGGTGATATTTTGGTCATTTATTTGTGATGTGATGTTCATGTACGCTCTAAATCAGATGTCACCAAACTACGACCCGACCCACGGGTCAGATCAGGCCTTTGAGGTCAGTTCGTCTGGCCCGCCACATACCACCCATAACGGCTAATAACTTGGAAGATGTGTTTGCAGCATGGTCAGGACTTGGTCACCAATATAATTAAATTATTTAATTAATTTTACAGAGCAAATCAAACGTATTCTTGTAGACTTCATAGCTTCTAGCTAATGTATCACGCTCTTCATCAGCTTAAATGTGACACATTTATCTTTCATTCCTTTTTTGTAAAAATCAGTCTTTTGTCTTGAACAAGGTAGGCAGACAGAACAGCAAGACAATTTGGTACGGTTCCTTTTGAAACATGTTATGTCCACAAACCTGGCAGACGACTCAGCAATCAGTTATGGATGGAGGCCATCAATGTGTCAACCTTATGATGGACTCTGTAGAGGAAGGTTAATGAGTTATGAACAGAACCCGACTCGGAAGGCCCCAGTTCTGGAATCAATTAATCAATATGTGTCACAACACTGTAGAATCGGGCTCTCGCCCATTTTTTGTAGGCATATGGAGTTATTAATGTCACCTTAAAGCCTATCGTTTTTCTTTGCTCTTGATGAAAAGAAAAAAAACTCATTTATCTTTAATAGTAGTCAACATTATATTATTTGCAACTTTAAAAAAAAGTGGGGATCACCTGTTGTCTGAGTTAACATAAGCGAAAAAAATTACTTCCAATTAAGTTTGGCTACTTCCAAAGCTTGAGTGCCCCTAAAAACTGCAAATTTACAAACTCTTTGCGCCTTTCATCAAGTTTATGTAAAATCCACGGAGAAATATGTTTTTAAATTAACTTAAAAGTTGTTTGAGCCTGAAACATAATATTGTATAAAAATTGCCCAACGGGTGGGTAAATGTCGGTTTCTTCAATTTCATTTTTTTGGGCGAGCACCTGCTTTCACCATGATTCAACACCAATAACGTGAACTCACCATTACATTGAAATGCAGACCCGTCATTTTCCTGGGCCTCACAAAAACCACCATTACCCAATAACAGACTTGTCAGAAGCAGCAGACAAATCACACACTTCTCCATAACGCCAGGTTTGTCTTGACTGCGGGCACCAAAGTGCTGCAATGCGCTTATAGCTACGTACTCAATGAATTATTCATTTTGTGATGAAGCTAATGCGTCGGAAGGAGGCACCCTGCAGTTATCTCAAGGACACTTCAGACAATCTTCAAACTGCACGCTCGTATTAAGTCTCCTTAGATTGAACAAGATGCTTTTTATGAAGCCAGACATAATATCATGAGAAAGATTAAACCATCGGTATACATGTGAAGACTACAGGGGGAAAAACGACTGTAGTCACATACAAAAAATGGTGAGGGTATCCATTTTGAACGTTGGTTGACTCATAACTGTATTTCTGTTCAACTGTTGGTTGATCATTGTTGTTAAATTTCCCATTCAACAACACTTGACAATGAACCACCAGTCAAACAGATGTGAAGATGTGAGTTCACAAGCTTTTAAAATTGGCACCCTCACAATTTCCAGTTTGTGACTACCGTCGTTTCCCCCCTGTGCTCTTCATGTGTATTTTTGAAGACTTTTGAAAAAACACTTATTCTTTTAGAAT